AAAGTTGGATTTGACATTTCTTAGAAATCGTACACAAATAGATAGAGTAATGCTTGTAAATACAAAGGCATCGGAACACATAAACTGCGATTAAAATAAGGTGGACGCATGATAATCTATATAGTTATAGTTAGGTCCAACCAAATAATTTGTGAAATTTGATGCTGTAGAAGTGAAGTAGGATATCCCTGTTTGGTTATGGAACAACATGTGGGTCAGTAGAAGCACAAATAAAGGTTCATCCTATTTTACATGGTACAAAGGGGTGTGTATAGGCATTTTTTCCTCATTACTGAAAATCTTCCATGGCCACATTTTTCTATTGGATATATCATCTTAACATTTTCATCCACCTAGATCTACCGCAATAAAACATATGCTTCAGCAAATCATGGAAGAATATTCGATTTGCTCATAAGAACGTTCTCATCGGCTCTGTCTTTTGCGGCTGGTTTTCTATCAAGTCAGCGAGTTCTTACATATTTTTCTGTCTTTTGCTCAATCCATATTAAATCAAGTCAGCGAGTTCTTACATATTTGTATAGTCAGTTTGGAATTCGAGGGTTCGTGATTTTCTTTTTCTAGCGTTGATATGGGAGTTCTAGAAAATCTGTAAATAGTATATAACGAAACTATATTGTATAATATTTAGATAAAAAGAAATCATACATCTTGAAAGTACAAGTTGATAAGCTGAAGCATTCGGTTATTCTTTTTCCTGGAATTGAGCATATTTCCATATCTCCTACCATGTTAACAATACTGAATCAAAATAATCTTTAACTGAACAACAATTTTACTCAACAGAGAATGAGAGGTCCTGCAATATGATTATTTGTATGTAACAACATTCTGCTTGTAGCATGGTAACACTGCTATTGTCTTCTATTGGAAAACATATATTCCTAGTTTCCTACAAGAGTGTTGATTGGACAAAATATCATATAAGTATATAATGAGATAATCTATTTGATCGGACCTGAGAATTCTAGTAACTGGACAATACATCTGATTTGATGGAAAAACAGTCTTTGAAACTCAGGGATGGCACACAAGCTCAAATATATCTTTTGCAATTCCAAAATATTGGCATAGTTTGGCATACGAATTTGGGATACTTTTTCTCGTAGTTTGTAGAAATGGAAATGTTTCATATGAAGCCCCTTCAAATTCATGCGGTACGACCATACCTCTAAGAAAGCTAAGGCTTGTTTTGTGTCCTACAAATGCGGTTGACGAATGTAGATAGAACACAGCTGGGCATATGAGTGGTTACATTGTTTTTCTTGAATATAGTATTACATTAATTTTACATTCAGGAGTTTGGTTTCAAGGAGTTTTCAGTACTTGATCTTTTTTGAAGATAGTAGGCATGTTGTTTGGCTTCACATTGTTGATAGCCATGGCAAAAGTTTTCTAGGGGCCCTTCCTCCTCCCCGCGCCGCTCCTGCGAGGCGGTCAGACGCAAACCCTAAATCGACACTGCCCTTAGTTGCTCCCCTTTCCTCCTCCTCCCTCGTCGCTGCTCGAGGGCGTGGCCGAGCAAAGCCTAGCCGTCGCCGGCGGCGGGGCCTCTGAGTCCTCTCGCTCAGTAGGCGCTGGCCTAGGCCGGAGTGTGGCACTGGGACCGGGCGACACGGTGGCGCGGTGGATAGAGGCGGTGCCTGGGTACCAATGCCTCTCCGCGGTGGGAGGCCAGGTGGTGTGGCACGCCTAGGTCGTCGGGATGGTGGCGGTGCGGCCAGACTGGTAGCGGGCGGCCACCTCTGCCATGGCCTTCCTGGCTGGTGGAGGTGGGTGGTGGTGGGTGCTGGAGGTCGCGGATGGTGGTTGCATCGGCTAGATCCAGCTTCGCAACGAAGCGAACCGTGGGCGGCTAGCTTGGGCTGCGGTCGGCCACCTTGACCAGGGCCTCCTTGGTTGGTCCTGGAGCCCAAGTATCGCCACATGCCTCTCTCTGGTTTGCAAGATCCTAAAACATGCAGATCCAAAGGCGGGAGCACACCAAGGTGACGGCAGGCCGGGGAGAGGCCGGGAACGGAGCCCTAACCATAGAGGGGTGAGTCGCCACCCGAGTCACCCGCATGGGAGCGACACGTGGGGCAAATCGTTTTTTCTAAGAAACCCAATAGTTAACACTTGTATTGGTATTTGTTGTCATGGTGCACTCCTTAAATACCTCTACAATTATTCTGTGCACATGCAACAATATATGGGTTTAGCTAGCACTTGTTATAACTTTATCACTTGTTTCCTTTCCTTTCTCATGTGAATGTAGCCGGGAGAAGACAACATTCCTGGATGAAAAAAGCCTCTACAGAATTCGTCCCTAAGGTGTTCAATATAGGAGCACCATAAAAGAGTTGTTTGTGTAGTAACCACATTCAAACGTTATGGTTATGCTGAATATATACCATTAATTAAGAGGCTCGATTATATCAAGATAATGCCTGTTTATTTAGCACCAAATCAAAAAAAAAACTCTAACAATATGAGTAGGGTAACTGATGTCCAATAAAATCAGTCGCAAGAATACTATCAAAACTAACCAGTTCAGAGGAGGCGAAGTGCAACCGTAGAAGTAGAGCATGGGGGAGAGGGCATTGTTTCACTTGGCTTTCTTGGCGTGCACTGCAGGTAGGAATGAGTGAGACCATGGTTCATTGCACTAGGGTACGTTGCTAGGTGGGATGAAAATATTCTTAGGAAGAACAATGATGATATGAGTGAGAAAGATGGATAACGGAGAAACCTATTAGCTAGCAAAAAGTACCGGTGTCTCACTTGTACATCTTTATACTACATACTCCTAGTACTAAATGACTTGTTGATATGGATTTCTTATAGTACGTGTTGGACAATCACAGTAGTGCTCATATGATTACTTTCTTCTAGTACCAAATGACTTATTGATATGAATTTCAGGTATTCAAGGAGACCGTAAATTTGGATGAGCAATATCCAGAGTTGGTTGAACAAGCAAAACTGATATTCAAGGAGACCGTAAATTTGGATGAGCAATATCATGTGGCGAAGCAGATGAAGGAGCTCAGAATCAAGGTGGAGGATGTCAGCCAGAGGAACCGGCGGTACCACCTCATCAAGGGCTCTAGCTCCAAGCCTACCTCTGCTGCGGGGCAGCCTACCATCTCAAGTGCGACAATGTCTACCGCCGATGATGCAAGGCTACTACGGCAAAAAGCAAAAATGGATCTCATCAAGTTGATCAATTGCAAGGATGACGCACTTCGAGTGATAGCATTGTGGGGCACAAGTAGTAGTGATCTGGGGGAGATATCCATCATCAAGAGTGCCTATGAAGTTGTCATCATACACAAGAATTTTGATTGTTGCGCTTTGATCACATTAACATGTCCTTTCAATCGGACATATTTCATTCGAAGCATTGTTCGGCAAATCTATGTCAATTCTTTTCAAGAGATGGGAGAAGGAGGAAGAATAACTATCGGAGCCCAAGTTTTGAAGATGATGGCGACGATGAAAGAAGATGGTTTGGCTTATGAGTTCAAGAGATACTTGAATGACAAGAGTTGCCTAATTGTACTCAATAACATACACACCATTGAAGAGTGGGATTGCATTAAGACATGTTTCCCAAACAACAAGAAAGGAAGCCGAATCATAGTATCCACTGAGTAAGTTGAAGTTGCAAGCTTATGCATAGGAGTGGAGGATGAAACTCTAGTGTGCAAGAAGTTACTTGCTGATCCGTCTCTTTATGTTTTCTACAGCAAGGTAATTTTTGAAGTCCCAAAAATTGTCTAATTGTTGTCCCTGTTGTTGTTATTTATGTTCTTTCTCTCAACTAAAAGTTAACATAATTAACTAAAGTTGTTATTGTGTTGTCATGTAAGTTTTATGTTAATAACCATTCTATATAGTTTAATTACAAAATAATTTTAATTTTTCTATTTTCATGAGAAAGAATTTGTAGTACATTTTACTTCTGCTAGAACTGTTATATGCATAGTAACCTTAATTTATCAAGGCCAATGTGCATAAATGATTCCATTTGATGTTTCTACACCTCCCCCTCCGTCCCCTATCATCCGATTGCATGTCCGCTACCTTAGCCTTAGATCCAAGCTTGACCATAATTCCAGTGGTTACAACTGTATCTCATACTTCATTGGGTCCATTTGTTTTCTAGCTCAAGACCTCAACTCTCTAGTGGTGTTATTTCGATTCATGTACTTATCTAGGGTCCACTTGTCAACAAGCACATACTTCTTCCATAAATTATATTCTCTTCATTTTCTTCAACATGAATGAAAGCAAGCAAACTATGGGCTCAAACCCAAATTGGAACTACCATAAGAGGGGATCACTGGCATTGCTTGTGGCTATAGCCGTTGAGTGACTGCCATTACAAAGAAGATGTAGGTCTTAGCACATAATGAGCAGCCTTGACATGGTATCTTTGAGTGCACTACAAAGCACTTATCAGAAGGTTATGCCTTTTTCGTCAGATGTAGCTCTTAGCACATAACGAGAAGCCTTGCCATGGTATCTTTGAGTGTTGCATTACGAAACACTTATCAGAAGGATATGGCCTTTTCATCCTATCATGGAATGGCTTTACATGTTATAGGTGTGGGGCAACCTAGTTGCCCCTGATTCTTGTGACAAAAATTAGAGAATCTCATCAACTGCCATTCACAATCTGCGGACAAGAATGCAATTTTCTCTAATATCAGTGGCCAAATTATATTAAATTATTTTCATTGTTGTCCTAACGAACAACATGGTCTATTAGAGATTAGAGATCATCAGATCATTTAAGAACAATAAGTATATATAAAAAATTACATAAAACTTAACACAGGGCAAAATATTATCATCTGGAAAGAAAGACAATACCTAAGCATTAATCGTGTGCTTGTGTTTAGGTTTCTCATGAGAGATGGAGTTCCGTGGAAATAGTCTCTACTGGCGTTCACAGCTCTACACACAAGAATATCCTCAACCGCACGGAAACAATGGCTACTCTAGAGGAATCTCGTCTCATTGGGAGAGGGAATGAAAAAGAGGAAATCATCAAACTAATCTCAAATAAAGATCTCCAGCAATTTCAAGTGATATCCTTGTGGGGAATGGGTGGTATCGGAAAAACAACACTAGTGAGAGATATTTATCAAAGCCAAGAGATTAGTAGCATGTGTGATAAGCGTGCTTGTGTCACAATCATGCGATCTTTCAACTCAGCAGCACTCCTTGAAAGCTTAATTATGCAATTCAGAGATAAGAATGAAGATAAAAATGAGAAAGATTTAAGAACATGTTTAGAAGGAAAGAGATATTTGCTTGTTCTTGATGATTTTTGGTCCAGAGTAGAGTGGGACTCTATAAAAGAGTATTTGCCAGAAACTGCAGGAAGCTGCATAATAGTCACCACAAGGGAAGAGAATATTGCCAAGCACTGCTCAAAGAATGAACGAAACATATACATGCTCAAACATCTGGGTCCTGATGACGCATTTGTCCTCTTCACCAAAAAGGTACAAATGAAGCAGTGTCATACTGAATGCCTCTCTCTTGTTTCTATTACAGTTATGGAATAAATGTTGTCAATTTGTTTATTTCTTTTTTAAAGGGCTAATTTTTTATTTCACAAACAATATCTTTATGTCCACTAGAAATTGGAGTTGCCACTCATCACTTCATTAGAAAATCTTATGCAATTGCTAGAATAATACATATGAATACCCCGGCCTTGGAATACATAAACTATGATTACAATAAGATGGAGACATGATAATTTGTGTAGTTATAGTTAGGTCCAACCGAATTATTTGTAGATTTTGTACCTGTTAAAGGGAAGTAGGATATCCCTGTTTTACTAGCGAACAACAAAGAAGTCAAACGGTAGAGGTACATATAAAGGTTCATCCTTTTTCTTGTGGACACCGTCTTAACATTTTCACCCACTCGGCTCTACCGCAATGAAAACACATGCTTCAGTAATCATGGAAGAATATTCGATCTGCTTTTGTAAGAATAGCTAGTCAGTGTCTCATAGGCTGTATTTGGCTCAGTCCTCTTGAAATCAAGTCACTCTCTTAATGCAGATATTTTCATTTCTTGAAATCGAGCATATTTCCATATCACCTGCCATGCTAACTATGACTATTTATAATGTTTCAACATATGCTTGCAGCATGGCAACACTGCTATTAACTTCTATCGAACAACGTATATTCCTAGTTTACTACAATTGTGCTGATGGGACGATAATCTATTTGATCAGACCTAAGAATTATTGTAACTGGGCAATACATCTGATTAGATGGAAACAAAATCTCATCTTTGAAACGCATGAATGGCTGATAAGCTCAAAGAATGATGTAGAAACTTATTATCCAACAAAAAGTAGCATTGTCTCACTATAACATCTTTGTAGTACATATTCCCATACAAAAGAAATGTGTTAGACAATGGTGCTTATTTGGTTTCTTTCTTGTTGTACTAAATGACTTGATTGATATGGATCAGGTATTTAAGGAGGCTGTAAGTTTGGATGAGCGATATCCCGAGTTGGTTGAACCAACAAAACTGATATTGAAGAAGTGCAGAGGGCTTCCCCTTGCAGTAGCCACCATAGGTGGCTTCTTGGCAAACCAACCAAAAACTGCTTTTGAATGGAGAAAATTGAATGATCATATCAGTGCTGGGTTGGAGATGAATCCAGAACTTGAGACCATAAAAGCAATCCTTATGAAAAGCTATGATGGTTTACCCTATTACCTCAAGGCTTGCTTCTTGTATCTGGCCATCTTTCCTGAAGACCAGCAGATTGCACGGAGACGCTTAGTGCATCGTTGGATTGCAGAGGGTTACTCAAGTGAGATGCGTGGCAAGTCTATAGAGGAAGTATTGGACTCTTACATCATGGAACTCATAAGAAGGAGCATGATCCTGCCATCTCAACAGTCAGTTCATAGTAGGAAAGGAATTGACTCCTGCCACGTCCATGATCTCACTCGTGAAATTGCCATCTCAAAGTCTATGGAGGAAAATATTGTTTTCACACTAGAGGAAGGGTGCAGCTTAAACAACCAAGGCACAGTGCGTCATCTTGCTATAAGTAGCAACTGGAATGGTGGTCAGTGTGAGTTTGAGAATATACTAGACTTGTCGCGCCTACGATCATTGATAGTGTTTGGAAATTGGAGGCAGTTTTACATTTCAGATAAGATGAGGTTGCTCCGAGTGCTGGATTTGGAAGGCAATTGGGATTTATTCAATTATCATCTTGAGCATATTGGGAAGCTTGTACATCTTAGATATCTTTCTGTAAGGGGACATGGTCGTATACATCACCTGCCAAATACGTTGGGGAAGCTGAGACAACTCCAGACACTAGATATTTCAGGTACAAGTATAATAAAGCTACCAAGGACCATCATTAAACTTGTGAAGATGCAACGCATTCTTGCTGGTGGCATGCGAAAAACTACAGGTGGTGTTGAAGTGCCAAGAGAGATTTGGAAACTGAAGGCCCTGCACACACTACGTGTTGTGGACATCTCAAGTGGGAAGGCTGCTCTGGAAGATATAAAGAGGTTGACCCGGTTGCGCAAGTTAGGATTGATAGACATCAAAAAGCACTAGTAGAAAAGGGGCCAATGGTCCAGGCCGGTCCAGCCCATTAGTCCCGGTTCAATCCAGAACCGGGACCAATGGGGGCATTGAACCCGGTTCGTGAGCCCCAGGGGCCGGCCGGGCCACGTGGGCCATTGGTCCCGGTTCGTCTGGAGCTATTGGTCCCGGTTGGTGGGACGAATCGGGACCAATGTCCCTCGCTCCTGGCCCACCACCATTGGTCCCGGTTGGTGGCTCGAACCGGGACCAAAGGCTTCCCTTTAGTCCCGGTTCATGCCACCAACCGGGACTAAAGGGTTGGTCCTCGTTGCGAGTTTAGTCCCACCTCGCCAACCGAAGGGGAATTTGACCGGTTTATAAGCCCCTCCCTCTCTGCCTTATTGAGCTCCTCTGAAAATGAAAATAGATGCCCTTATATAGGGAATTTAGCCTAAATTCATACGGATTTCTCTTGAAATTCGTTATGAATTTAAGTTGAATTTCCTCTATAAGCGCATCTATGCTCATTTCTGAGTAGTTTTTTATATAGTTTTTTTCTTTTCTGCTATATTTATTTCACAACTATTTTTTTCTTTTTATTTCTGAGTTGTAGTAAGTCATTAAAAATAAGCATCTATGCTCCTTTTTTAGTACAGTTAATCACAACTATTTTTTCTTCTATTCATTTCTGAGTAGTTTTTTATATAGTTTTTTTTCTTTTCTGCTATATTATTTTTTTCTTTTTATTTCTGAGTTGTAAAGCCATTAAAAATAAGCATATATGCTACTTTTTTAGTACAGTTAATCACAACTATTTTTGCTTCTATTCATTTCTGAGTAGTTTTCTATATAGTTTTTTTTCTTTTCTGCCATATTTATTCTTTTCTTTTTATTTCTGAGTTGTAATAAGTCATTAAAAATAAGCATCTATGCTCATTTTTTTAGTAAAGTTAATCAAAATTATTTTTTCTTCTATTTATTTCTGAGTGGTTTTTTATATAGTTTTTTTCTTTTCTGCTTCATTTATTTTTTTCTTTTTATTTCTGACTTGTAATAAGTCATTAAAAATAAGCATCTATGCTCATTTTTTTAGTAAAGTTAATCAAAATTATTTTTTCTTCTATTTATTTCTGAGTGGTTTTTTATATAGTTTTTTTTCTTTTCGGCTACATTTATTTTTTCATTTTATTTCTGAGTTGTAATAAGTCATTAAAAATAAAAAAGAGGCGCAATGCTCGTTAATTTGCTTCAAGCCTTTCGGAATAGTGTCAACTGCACTGCACATAGCTTTGTGCAGTCTACCGTATTCCTCAAGGCTTGAAGCTAACCAACATGCAGTAGCATTGAGCCTCTTCGTCATCGTCTCTGCACTCAGGGCTTATAAACAGCTGCGAGTGCCTCTCTCTTGGCAAGGTGGGACTAAAAAAACAGTTGCAGGAAGAATCAACAAAAAACAGCTGCAGAGAATAAAAAAGTAGTTAGACGGGTCCATTGGTACCGGTTCATGGCACCAACCGGTACCAATGCCACTCTTCGGTCCCGGTTGGTTGCACCAACCGGGACGAATGCTGCTCTTTAGTCCCGGTTGGAGCCACCAACCGGGACCAAAGGTCTTCGTTTCCCGCCCTTTGGGCTGCTGAAAAGAGGCCTTTGGTCCCGGTTGGTGGCACCAACCGGGACTAAAGGGGGGCATTAGTCCCGGTTGTTTTCACCAACCGGGACCAATGGTCTTGCTATATATACAACACTTTGCAAAATTTCATTCAGTTCCTCATCCCCGCCGCAGACGCCGCGCTCTGCCGCGACGCCCTGCTCCTCATCGTCGTCGCCCGCGCACGTCGTCGCCGCCCCCATCGCCGCTTGCGTCTTGCGCCGCCCCGTCATCGCCCGTGCCGCCCCGACGTCGTCGCCACCCCCGCCATCGCCCCTTCCCCACACCGCCCCGAGCCCGTCATCCCCG